AAACTCTAGGCTGCACCAAGACCCGTGCTGCCCTGTCTCCTGGCGCTGGGCATCCTAAATTAGAGCTTCAAACGCGCTACCTACCCGAATCTCCTTGCCCTTGCTGCATCGAGAGAACGCTACAGAATCAAATAATCTAATATGATCTAATTACATTTGCAGCCTCGACACTGATCAAGACTCGGGCTCTGCCGACTCCAAGGCTTGGAAGGTTTGTTGTGTACGAACTTGGCATTGGAATTTCGCGCTCAGAGTTGACGGGGAGGGTGGTGGACGCAGAATAGTTCAGTCTAGACAAATCATCGCCATCTTATGCATGAGTTGCTGCAGTGGCCGTGTATTTTCCATGCTATGAAACCCAGGACAAGGTATGCCGGGATGGACCTGGCACAACCCATCGAATTCGGATCGATCAACTGCCTGCCGCAATCAGCTCCGTTGTGCAATTCTTTCAGGTCGCTGGCGCGCGCCGCCTCCGCGAGCTGATTGGCTCTGGTGCAGAACCAATGGGTTTCGGTTACCTTGCCATCCTTGCCAACCTTCTGTCGCAAAGATCTGGAGCCTTGATTTGATGTGCCGCTTCGCAAGACATCCCTCAAAATCAGAAGTGTCCTTTTTGCGCCTTTCTGAGACCTTAACGCCGCGACAAGGCAAGTGAGCCGTGCGCCAGGCCGTGGGTGGACAGGCGGGCGGGGTAGGCAGGATAATGTTAGAGGGGGGATGTCAATTCACTGTAGTGTACTATACATTGTCTCTTGTGTACATCTTTTCGCGATATACATATGCAAAAACTTTTGCAGAGACTAGCAAACACTCAAAGTAGTGGTTGATCGTGCCAAGCCTCAGCCTATCTACGCCCCAAGACCGCAATCCCCGCGACGCGCTTCACTTTGGGGAAGTGCCCTTTCGGCCGAAGCACGCAACCGCAAGTCTTCATCACCATGTGCTGCTGCACCCACCACAGCCACGAAAACGCCCAGAAGTCGCGTCATGATTCTTGCAGAAACTGTTGTTGAAGACACATACATAAGGTGGCGAAACCATGGAGTTGCCGAGATTTTCCAGCCTACACATATATTTTTGCAGCAGAAGTCTTCCAGATGAAAGCAGCTTAAGCCACACTGCAAAAGATTTCTTTGGGGCCAGCTTTCGCTGCAGCTACGAGGACTCCTGCTGCAACACAGGCCGATAGAGCCAAAAAGCAACAAATGGAACATTCCGATCATGGATAAAGAAATGCTGCGTGATGCTCCATCGCAGCCAATTGTCCAGGGAAAGAGCGAAACATGCCGCTGTGGCAACTATCACGCAAGGCCGGCCAGCTTTCCACAAAAAGCGAAAGCTTTCAGAACACGAAACAAGCTAACTTGCTAGAACCAGAACGCGAAGTGGCAAAGTGTCCATCGTGAACACTCGAAGCACCTTGATCTGTGCGGTTTCTCAGTCAAGATGTAACGGTAACGTCTGACAAACAACAGGCCTGTTGCCTCTTCAAGACCTCATATCAGGCAAACAGGAGCAATAAAGGCGGCATGTCGACGGCGTCAGCAATGATCAAGAATCGTTTCAACGAAGAGTCATGCTTGAAACCAACCCGCGAGGTGGAGCTTCTTGATGTGACACATACATAGTTCACAATGCTCGATGATACGGAAGCACATATCCAATGTACATTGAGATCAACGGATTACAAGCCAAACAACGACATTTGTTGCTGTGTTTCACTGATGTCCGCTTGCTAAATGAACGCATTCCCTAACCGTTGGCGTGATGCCCCAGTGTGGCTTCATTCAGCGTACCGTTCATGGGCCAGCGAACTTGTGCGGCAGCGCTACCACGGCATACCATGGCATACCGCGGCATTTGCCGAGGCCAGCTGCCACGAGTGCCTCGCGCGAAAGAGCTCGTGATGTTGAACCTTCGCATACCCTCGCGGCAAGCGGACTCAGCAACCCTTGGCACCATGCACCTTAGGCTCGGTATCTGCAAGCCAACTTAGCCACTCTGGCGCGCAATCACACGCGCAACGTACGACGCAAGGCACAGCGCACTTCGCAGAAGGCCAGCGACCAAAAACCCAATTGTCGAAAACAGAAGCACATGATCGCGAAGTGGCGTTCCTGGTTTCGTCTATCGCGGCCAAACCACACTGGACGATTTGACTTTGTCGCAATGCTCATGAACAATCACAGACCCTCGTGAACGCTGAAGCTCCCTGAGGAGCTGTTGCAACAGCGGAGCGGCGGAATCGACTTGGGCTTGCGTTCCTCTCATCCGTTTTGGGATGGGCGCCTTCAAGACGTCTCTGTCTAGAAACTGAAGGCCACGTGGGCGGCTACATGATTCTACTCTCGATCATTCATGAAGATTCCCATCGGCCTTCGCGTTTCATTGTCTGAACTACGAGATCAATCAACCCAAAACGAATCATCGTGTAAACCCGGAACATTCGCCTCGGCTTCCAGCCGAGACGCGTCCAGAACACGCAGAGCATGATCTGGTCCCCCAAACCACAATTTGTGCGCACCGCACGCCCCTTTCCACCCCCCCGCCTTGCGAAACCGGCCCAAACACCTTGCTAAAATCCGATGCCAATGGGTTCCAATCATTTCCCATCTCTCTGCTCCTCCCCCAAAGACCCTGTCCGGGACGACCCACGCTACACCCCGCGTTCGGTCAGCCTCGGCTGCCGAGGCGGCCCGCGCAAGCGTTTGCGATTCAGTCTGATGCAACGGCAACGTGTGGCCTGGAGACTTTTCAGGGAGCATGATGCAAATCTCATCCTCGTGATTGTGCGCTTCTTGTGTCGCAGCAATCTTGTCATTTCACAGATGAGCACGGAGATGCTCATAACCAGGTCTTCCCACGTCTTGATACAAGAATGCGGAGTGCGGAAGTCTTACCCTTGTTGCATGAGTCAATGAGATGGTGGGAAGCCCTGTCTAACGCTACGTGTTCTTCAGCCTCTACACGCCTCTCTCTCCTCAGCCGGGGGTGTGAATTTGTCATGCAAACACGGTGTCGTTGGGGCCTCAGATCAGGCGCGCCATCATTTTCCATGTTAGGCGCTCAAAACCCTAAACCCTAAACCCTAAACCCCCATGTAAAGCCCAGAAATGTTCTCCCTAGAATGAAATCTATAGGCCCAGTAAGGGCCATATCCACTCCTGGGTGGCCCAGCTTGCCGCCTGCGAGAGCATCAGCATCGGCGTCTGCTCCTCACATTGCTCTCTCATGGGCAGAACTTTCAGGTGGGTTTCGGGTTTCGGGTTTGGGGGTTTCGGGGTTTCGGGTTTCGGGTTTCGGGTTTCGGGGTTTCGGGTTTCGGGTTCAGGGTTCAGGGTTCAGGGTTCAGGGTTTAGGGTTTAGGGCTTAGGGCTTAGGGTTTCGGGTTTAGGCCGAGCGATCTGAGGCCCAGGCAACTCCCTGAAAATGCTCCTTCAATCCGGCAGTGATGGCTTCCAGGGCCTCGCGACAGGGACTCTTCGGTCGTCAAAGGTTCCCCGTCTGAGGGCTCTTGATCTCCCCCACCCCACCTCTACGCCACCCCTCCACTGCCCCCTCCCCAAGCACCACCAGCTCGCTCTCTTTTCTTCTTCTGCTGGGCATGGGGGTGCCCCCCCGCGCCCGAGGCTGAGTTAGGTCCAGGTGACTCGCTCTCTCAAATTTTTCTTGCATGCCCGAGGCGGGCGCCGCGCAGCGTTGCAAAAATTAAGCGTCTAAGCAGCAGTTCCATCGGGACAGCACAGAAACCTACTAGGGACCAAGAGGACCGTGTCACGAAAGCCCAAAGTCTCTGCACTCTCGACGAAGATCGGCGAACCTTCGATGGGCTTCCTCGATTCTCGATGGGTCGGGCCCAGGCGATCGCCGCGCAGCGTTTGGAGGTCATGAACAGCGCCCAACGACAACGACCCCTCGCCTGCTGCTGCTGGCCAACCTGGTCTTGATGTGGAGCTCAACAAAGTCTACAACAAGGCAGAATGCGCAACACTCCGCTATTCGCATGCTGGGTGCAACCTTTTGCTTCGCGGTGTGACGCGCAGAGGTAACTGTGGCTCTCTGTGCTGCGCTGCCTCTGTTCAAGCAGTGTGCTCTTCAGCAGCTTCTGCCGGGCTTCCTTTGCAGCAGCTCAGAGAGAGTATGTTGGGACCTTCATGGTGAGACCGATCATCCATCCAAAGGCGAGGAAGGGCACCTAACATGTGAACACCGAAAAGCGAGGGCCCGTCATGTAACTGCGCACATCATAGTACCCACCACTACCTGCATCCCACATCGGACACCTTGCCTTCCACGAGATCCATGGAGGACTATTGCAACAAGAAGATGGCCACCAGGATGGGCGCGAGCCTGAAGTCACGGCTCTCAGTCTCTCTACTTCAGCGATGGCAAGTCGGAAGACCTCTGAGTCGCCCGGATCAGCCTTAGCACCCGGCCCGGCAGCAGCTGCGTTATCCTTCGGCACACCAACCTGCATCGTGGCATCGCGCGAGAGCAACTTTGGAAGTGCAACGGGTCTCGTCCCTGGTCGCAGAGTCTGCTGGTGCCTCGCCCCCTTCTTGCCCACCTGCAACCAAACTGGAATGCTGGCACATGCTCTCAAAGCCAATGGAAGTCTCCCACGCAATTCGCTTGAGACATGCTGCACCTGCTGGTTGGTTCTGCTGCTGCTGCCCTTGCTGCCCTTGCTGCCCTTGCTGCCCTTGCTGGCCTTGCTGCCCTTGCTGGCCTTGCTGGCCTTGCTGGCCTTGCCCTTGCTGGCCCTGCCCTTGCTGGCCCTGCTGGCCCTGCTGGCCCTGAGCAGGAGCTGACAGTCACGCAAGTTCAAGTACAAGCCCCCCTAACTCTTGCAACTCTTGCAACTCTTCAACGCCGTGGCACAGGTGGCACCGGTGGTGGCGGCAGCTCCTTCTGATAAACGTCTGGAGACACGCACAGTCTCGTTGCGAAGGAGAACTTGAAACCTCAAGGTGCATTGGGCAGGCCAAAAAGTGCCATCAGATGATATCAGGTGTGCACACAAGTCTAATAGAGTCGAATTCCGCTATACTGCCGCGGCCTTGGTGGCAACAGCAGTGCTTCTCAGCGGACAGCGGCACTGTGCACTTCTTGGAGTGCTTGGTGCTGCAGCCGAAGACTCCGGGTGAGTCGATGGATGGCGGAATGACGTAGTCGCCTTTGGGGCCCAAACCAACTGTCGGAAATCGCTTCAAGGAGGCTCAGAAGTCTGGTTTTCTAGTTTCTTCGTTGGCTCTGTCCATTGTTTCGGGGCAGCTTTGCCAGCTGGCGCGCCTTTCTCCGAGACGTACTTGAAGATGACATCCCACGCAACTGGCGGCTTGTTCTGCTCCTTGGCTGACGTGCGCTGACAGGGTATCGCACTGACATCGCAGCTGGAAACGGAACACCGCCTTGAAAACATATAAAACAGGTCAGGCGACGTAGCTGACGCACTCGCCACACCGATCCTTGCCGACCTCGTACTGGCATGCGCGGTGGCAGCAGTACTTCTTGGGGTGGTTGACGCACCTGGCGTGTGACTTGCAAGCCATCAGGAGGAAAAGGAGCCTTAACGGCACCCTTGTTGCATGAAAATCCCGTTAACTGACTAGAACTTGAACTCGTGAACTGACCTGCATCTTAGTGCCAACCTGAAAAAACACACCTTAAGCACCCTCCTCAAAACACAGGCCGAGCGCGCTTCGATGCCTGACCTACTGAATGCGTGAGGCCCCACTTCTCGCTCCCTGGCACGGGGTCCTCTGCAGGAGGAATTTCGGCAGAGTGGCTCAGAGGCTCAGCGTGCTAGATTTAGCAGTGCAAAAAAGGAATGAAGGCCCCCCCCTCCCCGCCTCTTGTCTGGGCCACACTCAACACGTCCAGCAACAAAGAGTACGAACAAACACACACACACACACACACACACACACACACACACACACACACATATATATATCCACAGAGACAGAGCAGATCTCCTCTACATCCGTGGGGTCATCGGCGACTGGAACACATCCCCGCTCAGGAAAACTGTAGATGAAACCTGCAAGGATGTGTTTTTGCAAATTCCGACCCGTCTCCCCCTTGCAATCCATGTCCGCCTGCATTGCAGCAGCATACGTGCTTCTGCTCTTCGTCTTTGCATTGGATCGCGTTCTTCTCCGTGCATCCTCTTAGGCCGCCTGTATCGTCGACCCCAAAAGGGATGCGATAGCTCCCTGAGTGGCGCATGGGGCAATCACCATCAATCACCTACATTACCGCGTGCCCGGGTTCCTCCATACGGAGCCCTGACTTTTTTTAGGCTGCAAAAAAGGCACCCAAAGGCTATAAAACCATATAAAACCCTACATAAACACTATAAAGCCCGAATCTAAGACCCCAGATACGGGTGCCCCAGCATTTTCTTCGTGCATGTCCGGCACAAACCTACGCGCCAAGTTGCTCGTGGCGGCCTGGAAGTCCTTGATGAGCTCCGCCACGGGCTTCACGTGTACCTTGCTCAGAGTCTTTCGGGTTTTCGGGGTTGAGGGGTTGAGGGTTGAGGGGTTGAGGGTTGAGGGTTTAGGGGATTTAGGGTTTAGGGGGGATTTAGCACACCGCAATGTGGGTTCAAAGCACTCGTCGCATCGACTCTCAAGTCATGCCGCGTTGTGGCCCTCGGATTTCTTGCATTTATCCTGTCAAGGCAAGCTTCGACTTCTGAATTTGCTCGCTTCCATGCTCAGGCAACAGATACAACAGCTGTGTTGTGAGAATTAATGCAAAAGGCCTGGTCCACGTCGAAGGAGGAGCCGCGGTCACAGCACCACTCTTTGGACCCACACTCGTGCGCGCTGTCCTTCGTGTGGAACGTGCCCCACCTGGTGAAACCCCCAAAAATCCGCAGAGCCGTGTCTGCATGTGTCTGCAAAGGGAAAGACTAGAAACTAACAAGAAAGGGGCCCTTGCCATGCCAAAAGCCGAGCCGCTTCTGTGAGCCCGGAATGGGCTCTGGATCCGCCGGAGCGGCTGCTTGGGCTGCCGGGGCGTCATGGCCGCCGTGGCCGTCCCCGCCATGCGCGTCCCCGCCATGCGCGTCCCCGCCATGCGCGTCGCCGCCATGCGCGTCACCACCATGCGGGTCGCCGCCATGCGCGTCGCCGCCATGCGCGTCGCCGCCATGCGCGTCGCCGCCATGCGCGTCGCCGCCATGCGCGTCACCGCCCGCGCCGCCTCCCGCATCTCCCGCCGTCGTCGTGGTAGCGTCTCCGCCGGCGCCGCCTCCAGCGTGCTGGGGCGTTGTCGTCGTGTCACCACCATCCGCGCCATTGGCCTGAGGCGCACGCAAAAAACATCGCAGCGCAGCTATCGTAGGTCAACACACAACTGGCACTCGGTGCATTCTAGCTGCAGTCGGGTCCCTCAGCAAGGGCTGAAGGATTTCTCTGCTCTCAGGGCCTTAACAAGATGCAGATGCTGCGTCTGCTACGCGTTGTCTTTACTTTTGCAGGCGTGGGATGTTTCGTGTGGAGTCTCCTGATTCCATGCACTGCAGATCACAAAAAACGGTGCCCTGCAAACTGGGGATGCAGCGTGCGGCGAATAGAAAGCTTGGGTTGAGAAACCATATCCTTGGATGTGATATGCTCCCTAAGTTGTGAGGGCCGACTCAAGCCTGATGGATCTGGCAGAGTCAGTCACTCAGCATCCACAACCACGCGGGCCGGTTGCCGTAGACGGTCACTGTGGGAAACCTCTCCATGTGCGGCCGGGTCGCAGGCATAGGTTGTGCCGACAAGGCCTCATGAAGTCCTCGGGGTATGATTACTTTCTGCGTGGACTTGCTTTCGGTGCAACAGGTGGGGCCAGAAGCAGCCACTGCAGGCAAGATGCGCACGGAACATGGAGTTGGCAGGACAACCCGGCACTGGCTGTGTAGCCAAGTGTGCTGCAGGAGGTTGCAAGAGCAAGTGACCGCACATGAGCTACTGGGTATCATGAGCTCAGATTGTCCGACCTCTCCCCATGTCTCGCGAACCTGCAATCAGACTTGCTTTTCTCTGAGCCCTGGGCGGTGCATTGAAGCTTGCCCGCCGCTAGGGCCTCAAAAAGAACCAAAAACGTTGCAAGCAAGCGCAGAGCCCTTCGGAACTCCGGATTCCGGATCCCGTATGCGCTTGGCCTTCGCGAAGGCCCACATAAACGTACCCTGCACAGTCCTGCCATCGCGCGACTCTAACTCCGGGATCACAGCGATAACGACGCACAGCTCAAGTATCCAGCGCTTGTAAGAACTCTATGACTGCCGTTCGCAGCAGGCGTTATGACTGTGGTCGACATGTGTTCACACTTAGAGGACATTGACCCGAGCAGCATCTTCTAACACGTCGGCAGCACCCCTCCAGTGGGAGCTCAGAATCCCACTCCTGCAGCCTTGCGGTCCACACCACACGCACATACACGCACCACACGCATCAAACAGAGCGCCACAGCCATTACATGCCATTACACAGCAACCTCACAGCACAGATCCGCCTGCAAGCGCTGAACACGTGTAAGCGGCAGGATGGGAAGGTCTGCGGGCGCCACACCTGTGGGAGCCTTAGGAAAGCGTCGGACATCACGTGCACAAGCGGGTGGCCGTGGCCTGTTCTTCCAAGTGTGGTCTTGGATTCAGGAAAGGCCTCGGGCACTTCGATGGGCTGTGGCTTTTAATCCAAGGAGGGCGCGCAAAATTTGCGTTTTGGAGCCCAAAGGGCCTGACCCCACCCAACAAGCTTCGAAAGTTGAATTTCCCCATTCGCGCAGAAAACAAACACCCTCTCGAGATTCTCCGAGTATTCAAAAAAAGCGCTTTGCTTCACAGCTTTTTGCTTCAGCAAACAAGATCCGAAGCCGTGTGCCACCGACCTCGTTTACCGGGTTTTCACGACACCTCCGTTTCTCCACAGAGGGGCCACGTGCCCAGGGGGAGGTGGGAGGGTCATCCGAAAACACACGTGTTTTCTCGCAGCTGTCCTCGGGGGCACGCGCAATTGGAGCATCAATGGGGCCCGGCCGCACTTTTGGTAGCTTCTTCCGACATCGCCGACGCAGCATTCCCGCGCACTCTCTGTGCTTGGAGCCTTGTCCACTGCGCTGCCCATGGGCGCAGCCCCGCTGACTTGGACAAACCATGGAGCCTGCAAAGCGCGGCATTTTCCATGCCTCTTCTCCAGCTCTCTCCTTTTTTTGCGACTCGGGAGGAGAGAGACTGGCTTGCGGTACAAGCGACCACACAAAGCTGGAGCATCCACGCCATGCAAAGCCCGCAAGGAACCCCAAGGACCCCTAAGCCCAAAAGAAAAGACGTCCAAGACTTGAGGGGGACAGATTGTGGGATGGTAGATGAGGATCGGTTCTTTTTGAAAGCTGGGCTCACCCGGCGTGTGCTGGACCGGCAGCGGAGGCAGCTCCAAGAACCTCCCCGGAATTCTACGGGAAGAAAACACCGGCAAGGTTCCCCTGATTTCTGTTCTCTGCTACTGCTGCTACTTACTTGGTTCTCTACTTGACGCACGGATGTGCACGGCCATGCTGATGACTCTTAGGAGTCTTCGCAGCGAGGCCTGGGGCGGCTCACGAAGTCGAAGAGCTTGTCATAGTCCACACCTCACGTCGTGCGGCACATGTGTCGCGTGGCCGCGGCAGTCGTTCGGCAGTGGCTCGGCTGTGGTTCGGCTGTGGCGCAGAGGCGAATAGCCAAGCTACTGAGCTTCTGGCGACCTCGGGCGACTTTGGGGAAGGTTGGCGACATGTTGCAAGCTGGGCTCACACCTGAGATTCCAGGGACTCTTGGAGCAGAAGCTTCGGAGCAGCAGATGCACTGCGCGAAGGCCCTAAGGCTCGAGGTCCAGGCCCGGAATGACAGGGTAGGAGCAGTCCAGGATGGTCGTCAGTGCTGGCGTTCAGAATTCAGCGAAGACGCCCAAGTCAAGAAATCTACAGATGTCTCCTGATGTCTACAGCACTTCTACAACTTGCACATGTTTATTGGTGATTCACACTCGGAGCCACACTGGCTCCGGCAGGAATCTGGGTGATGAACCGGTTCAACCTCAGAACATGTCACTGAACAAACTTGAACGCCTCTCAAACAGCTGAAGACACTCTGACGACCAGGCAAGGACGACTGCCGCACACACATTTCAAAACGCAGTGGCAATTCCAAGGCCTATGCTCAAGCATCGAGATGAGTCGGTAGGATGCCCCTGTCGGAGGCCGAGGAGTCTGCACAACCTGGAGCGCTTGCTTCTTGAACCGCTCATATTCACCCTCTACACAAGTTCGACCGCCGCACCAAACAAGCAAGGAGCACCGGGTGTCCATTTGTTGGCCGCACATTCTGCCTGACTGCATGTTGCTGGGATTGGGTCCCACTCCAGAAGACTGAGGCAGTCAAGCAACGTGGCAGTTTGTCTCTTGGCCTCAAAGGAAAAAGCAAGGCAGTTCGTGTCTTGACTGTGTATACAGTGAAAGAAGTGCTTGATTGAGGGGGCCCTGGTACTAGCGCAACGCTCGCACAAGCAGTCGTTCACACACTCCTCCTCTCATCGTGGCAGCATTTCATGCAGCAATCCATGAAGCAATGCCTGCCTGTGACCACCAGTCCTGCGGCAAATCTTCCGCGTAGTCCGAGGGCACCAAATAAGCCTCGTGGTCCTTTCCCTCGGCATCCTCCCAGGAGAGCACAAAGCATTAGGGTTTAGGGTTTAGGGTTTAGGGTTTAGGGTTTAGGGTTTAGGGTTATGTTTGCGCGCCTCGCTTCAGGTGTGAGGCTCTGAAGGTGGCTCTCGTCTCGTCTCTTGGGGACTCATACTTTTTCCCCCTCGGCGTGGCTTTCTTGAAGCCAAACTCCGCCACTTTCACCTGGCCCGGGTCTGTGGCCCGGGTCTCCTACTCTCAGAAAAGCCCGCGGAGAGGATCCCGCTGAGTATGGCTGAGTATGGAGTGGTCCGGAGAATTTGGGCCTTCCTTCCCAACCCTTCCCTCCCTTCACTCACCCGCGACACATCAATGTGAGTGGGGCTTTCCTTCGTCTGCGATGTGCACGCCACGCCCCGCACTCGGCCGGCTGCCGAGGGCGGCAATGCAACAGTTCCTGTACAAGAGGCTGATCCTGCTGACGCAAGCAGCCATGAAACGGAAATATTACATGGGGTTATACAGTAATTGCTTTTGCCGTAGTTGCTGTTCATTGTTACAGTTGAAGTGCGCACAGTTCTCCAAACAGGGTTTAGGGTTTAGGGCTTGGGGTTTAGTGTTTCGGGTTTTACCCCCACACCGCTGGATTTTTCGTGGTTGGGAATCGTTGCCTTCCTCAGGGTTGAGAGTTTGGGGTTTGGGGTTTGTTGGGTTTGTGGGTTTAGGGTTTAGGGTTTAGGGTTTAGGGTTTAGGGTTTAGGGCTTAGGGCTTAGGGTTTAGGGCTTAGGGTTTAGGGTTTAGGGTTTAGGGTTTAGGCTTTGGGCTTTAGGGTTTAGGCTTTCGGCTTTAGGCTTTAGGGTTTAGGGTTTAGGGTTTAGGGTTTAGGGTTTAGGGTTTAGGGTTTAGGGTTTCAAATCCATCTCAGTGGGTCGGTCCTTTGGATGCTGGGCACCATATCCACAGAAAGCCAGTACCAAACCTGTCGGGAGGGTCTTTGTTTTGCTTTCTGCTTTAGGTCTCTGCCCCCAAAATGGGGGTACGCCCTTTTGTATATACCCCAAAACAGAAGAGAATCCCCCTTAAAGGGAACCTTGAGAAGGGTAGCCCTATTTTCGGAAACCCCCCAAATTTCCAGGACCCTTCTCTGGCTTCTTGGTGGCCGACTGTCTCCAGGCTGTGCCCCATCCATCAGCCTAAGACGGGGACTTCGACATGTGAACTCCCCCCCCCCCAGCAGCGTTGGGAGAGGGAAATGAGGGGGGGGGGGGGGGGGGGAACCTCTTCAGCACGACCAGCAAGAACAGACCGACGTTCCACAGGAGTCATAGAGTTCGACTCATGCAGGCAAAGGAGCCCCTTCTTTCTTGGGGGGGGGGTTGGGGGGGGGTTGGGGGGGGGTTGGGGGCCCTTTCAGGACGCTCTCCTCGTGACTTTTCAAAGCGCGGGCCAGTCTCTGCGGCAGCTCCGTCGAACGCAGGCTCAAGGAACTTTGCTGCTGTAAACGGGGCTGCCCCGCGCCCTCCTTTGAGGGCGCACCGAGCTCTGGGGACCTTTGAGGTTGAAAATGTCAGAGATCCCCCTGCTGGGAGAGAACTGGGAGATGCAAAGAGAGAAAGAGAGGTCTTCTCTCTTACAAAGCAGTTTACAACAAGTCAGGCTCTGTCAACTGTTCACGCCCGCATGAAGATCTGCGTAATCGCCGTGAGGCCTCTCGAAGGAATGTCCCCCCGCCCCCCGCTCCCCCACAAGGACAGGACATTCTCACATTGCTCGCAAGGGCGCGCCTTCACTGTACTGGGAGTGCTTCCACGTGGATGCGCACATGCCACCCATCCCAAGTCCAGGGATCTGGGTGACCATGACATCTGCCTCACCTCACTCCAGGATCTTCCCTCTCAGATCGAGGTCTCGGACAAAAGCTCGGAGACGCTACGTCCGCCCAAACTTAGTTTTTTTGTGAGTCTTTTACATGCCATCATGTTCCAAGTGCAGAATGGGCACGTGCGCGCACTGCATCTTCTCGCTCCAATTCCTGAACTGTCTTGGCTGAGGGATGAGATTCCCCCTTGAGGTTGGGCTGGGCGGCTTGAAGTTTCAGACCCTTAACCCTACATCCTAGACCCCTAAACCCGATGAATGAACCCTAGACCCTAAACCCTAAACTTTCCTAAACCCAAAAGGGGGGTCTCCTGAATCTTTCTGGCCAGCTCCTCATCGGAGAGGCCTTCGTCCGGGCTCGGCAAGCCTCTTACTGGGGCTGAAGAGAACTGCCTTTTTAGAGGGCTCTGGGGTTTAGAGGGGGCTTATAGAGTTCACAGGGGGTTCATAGGGCTTTGTAGGGCTTACGGGGCTTATAGGGCTTGAATCATAGGGGTAAAAACAGGGGAGGCCTATATGTGGGTGGAGTTTTGGAGTTTTGCGCCTAGCTGTTCGCAGAGCAGGTTGTGGCGGTGGGTCCGGAGGAAGCGCCTTAGGCCTTCCGCTCCGAGGTTGCCCGCCCCGAAGCCCACCCCGTCGGCCGTGTGTATCTGGGGATCCGTGTAGAAGGTGCCGACGCCCTGGATGTCGCAAACGACCAGGAGCTTGTCCGAAAGGATGTAGCTGAAGTAAGAGAATGCAGCTGCCACCTCGTCGTCCGTCTCTGTGTGGCCGGCGTTGTCGCTGTGCTTGACATAGTCGCCAGCCAAATACGGCTCCAGACAAAGCGGCTCCTCAAACTCATCCATCTTCACCACGGAGACCGGGAGGAAGGCGATGCTGAAAGGCAGCCCCGCTTGCGAGCAGCACTTGTTAAACTCTTGCGCGTAGCACTCCGCGACCATCTGGGTCATGGCCTCGTGGTAATTCATCACGGGGTCCAGACCGCAGTTGGGCTTGATCCGCTTCAAGACCGCGTCGATCTCACTGCCGTCTTCCATGACCTCCCGGGCCCTGTAGACCACGCCTCTCAGATCAAGACCAAGACTCTCGGATAAGGCACATGACTGACGGACTCAAAAGGCGAAAAGGACGGACTCAAAAGGCGAATATGGCTCTCAAAACCAGAGACTAGACTAGACGATGTTGTAAAATCTTGCGCAGTGGCGGCCTACAAGGACGCAAAAGTAACGGACGAGATACGCAGGCTGTTGCTCAAGCTGTTGCAACCAAGCATCGCATGCCACCCTCACTGAATGGTGCTGGGTCCAGGCGTATTCTCACGGGTTGCTGCTCCCACTGGGCCTGCTCACAGTCATAGGTGAACTTTACGGCCTGGTGCTCCTTAAACTCCTCCTTTGCCTTTCCCATGTGCGTGACGAAAGGAGAGAGCCCACTGGGCGGGAGCTTCAGGAGCACCAACTGCGAACCAAAAAGGGCCCCAATCAGATTCTCACTCTGACACTGCAAGGCATCTTCACCTGACATATCCTGATATCACCCTCTGAACCAAGATCCATCAAAGCCATTCAAAGCCTTGAACCCGACAATTCGCAAGGGCTTCGCACCGAAGTTCTGCAAAAGTGCCTCGCTTTCAACTGCCCAGCTTGCGCGCTCGACCGGGCTGCTGGCCACTGGAAGCCGGAGAGGATGTTGTCCCTGGATGGAACCTGCAAAGAGAGAGGATGTGAGAGGTGTGAAGATTCCGAGTCGAGTGCTGTCATGTGACTCATCCAGGGTTTAGGGTTTAGGGTTTAGGGTTTAGGGTTTAGGGTTTAGGGTTTAGGGTTTAGGGTTTAGGGTTTAGGGTTTAGGGTTTAGGGTTTAGGGCCCGCACGGAAAGGTGCCTGCGACAGCTTGACTGCCTCCCCATCGTCGACAAGAACTCGCACGTGATCCTCCTCGAACAGCAACGACTGCCTGTCGGTTTCGGCACGAACAGGCAACTGAAACAAGCCAAATTTTTGGGTGGCCGGGCTTGCAGAGAAAAAGAGACAACAAACACAAGAAAAGCAAAGAAAAAAGTCTCGACCAGCGCCTCAAGACGGCATGGAGATTCCAAGCATCGTTCACGGCACCCTTGAGCTGAGCATGTGAGCCTGTTCTTGCGCTCCCAAGGTTCACAGAATCCTTCTCAAAACTCCTTCCAGCGCTTGCTCTGTGCCTGTATAGTTGACGCCGATGATGAGGGCCTCATGCACAAAAACAACAGGGGCACAGAGTGCAGGAGGGCGCGCTGATGCCTTGCGACGGGGGTTCGAGGTCAGCGGATTCCTCATGATGTCCGGCCACCTTGGCACGCTCTCTCTGAGCGCCGATCTTTCTTTAGCCCCCGAGGCGCCATCCGAGTCCGGCACAGGGTGCTCACGTCGCTTCTGCCAAGTTCCTTGCAAGGGCCGGCATACTGCCCTTCGTCACTTCGTCCCATAAACTAAAATCACCTAAAATCCGAGGGCCATGTCTTGCTTTCTTTTCCGCACTGCGCTTGACGCACGACAGCCGCACGTGGAGTCACTACAGCGAAAGCTCGTGTTCCCAGAAGAGGTCGTCGAGGTCGACGTCTTCGTCGCTCAGGGCCTGAAGCTTTTCACCCCATGGGATCCTCACAGCTGCTGCCGTATAAACTATGACACAATGCTAGAATGTTGGTTGTGGTTATAGTCGCAGTACATCCAACAATGCGAAGAATTATGTGTATATATATATAATATATATATATATATATATATATAAGTATTCTAAATCACTCGTTACCTTGCATCTCCGCCTTGTCTCCAGGTTCCTCCCAACGCACCGCCCGAGCCTGTTGGGCCTGCAGGGCGGGATTTTTACACCTTTTTGGGGCCGGGATGCCTTCATTGCCTTCATTGTGGCGGCTCCCAGGTTGACAAGGGGCCCCCGAAGTCCGAACCGGCACCCGAAGAGGCAGCCCCTGCCTCTGCCCGCTTCGCGAGCAGCTCCGGAGTTCGCTGCCACAGCTCGGCCTGGTGCCTGGAACACTCGGAAAACTGGAGAAACACATTGGGGGAGTCCACTGAGGGAAGCGAAAGGAGGGCAGGTGTGGGCAGCTATGGGACCAAGGCCTAGATTCTAGAAAAGCGAAAGAAGGGCATGGGCCTGTACGAGAGCTCCTCCTCTACGGTCCCCAGCGTCACGAAGCGCCAGAGGAAGACTTTCTTTGTCTGCCCCACGCGGAGGCAGCGGCCAAGCGCCTGCTTCTCGTAGGCCACCGCCCGCCGTGAGCATGAGGCAAACATGGGGTGGACGAAGAGCACGTGGTTCCTAAAGAGCAAGAGAGTGTCTGATCTAGTCAGGGAGCTGGGGGTCCGAACATGTTCTTAAGTTCTTAACAAAACATCTCGAAACACACTCGGCTAGTGCTTCCGTGCTTCCCATCTGATTTCCATCTAGTTTCCCACTAAGTATGTCCCAGAAAATCCCATGCGCATTCCATATGCACTGCGGCGAGGCGTCGCTCGGGTGAGGTTGGTGCCGGAGGCCGCGTCTTGCAAGGAGAGCAGGAGCACCTTTGGCCCCTCCGTGGAGTCCAAGGGAGCTCCCTGGAAGCTGGTGACCACGTCGTCCTTCTCCCAGAAGCTGTTCAGGACCCCGACACCCTTGGAGTCCAGCCGCTCCTTCGGCGCGCTGCTCTGCGAGCTTTAAGAAAACACAGAGAACGTCGAAAACAAAAAACGACACATGGACATGGCGCCCCGGGCCTCCAGGCAGACGTAGGGTACCTTGAACTCAGCAAATGTCGCGGCCAGCTTTCTCCGAAGGCTGGCCCACTGCACGAAGACAATGGCGCGAGCAGTTGGGTCCTCCGCGCATGGAAAAAATGGATGCGAATATATGGCGCGCGCGTGTGTGTGTGTGTGTGTGTGCGTGTGATTGAAACGGTCCCTGTCCCCTGTGTGCCTCGTGAGCTATGTCCCGGAGCTTGCGAACGACGTGAAAGAGCTTGGAACCGAAGCGACCCCATCGCTGGCGCTCCTCGAACGGTCTCTCTGCATGTCTCGGCTGGGGTGGCTAAGGCCGCAGAGAGGGAGAGAGAGGGAGAGAGGGAGAGAGAGAGAGTTCAGCACCATTCAGCACCCTTCAGAGGTATGCCCTTTAAGGGGGGTCGGGGCCTCGCGCTCGCCGGGCTGCACGGCGCCCGGCTCCCGCACCCGCAGCACCTCCTCCAGGCCTTCCCGGCGCAGGGACTGGCGGCAGAGCGCGCACTCGCCCCTCCTGGGCAGATCTCACTGTGACTCCCCCGTTTTTTTTCTATGAGAGCATATGCTACTCAAAGCACGTGTTGCTGCAGCATGCTGCTCTTGTCTTGTGCTTTTTTGTGGGACCACTCTGCTATCGCCTCTTTTTCGCAGCGCGGAAGGGTTCCGGGTTCCTGCGTTCTGCGTGGGCGCTTTCAGCGGCCAGCAGCTCTTTGCCGCCATCCTACGGGAAAATCCGAGTCTTAAGGGGCGAAAAGATGCAAAGGCATCCTTTGAGACCCGAAAATTATAGCCGTGAGACACTGACCTCAGCATCCAGCACCGCCAAGTCGAGACCGTGTTTAGGCTGTAGCTTGGTCCTGGATTCGCGTGTACCTTGGTGCTCCAGACTGAGACTGAGACTGCCAATGTATAGGAGTCAAGAAAAAGCGAGCAGCGAGCAGGATAGTCTGCGAGGTGCTTGAGGGTGTAGTCGGCTATGCTCACGGCACGGTTTCCAGCCTTGAAGAATAGCTGGTCGTTTGGGTTCCTTGGACGATGCAGACGACATCAGACGACCACACTCCGCCCCCCCGTCTCCTGCAAAACACATCCGAGCCGCAGAAATCCAAGGAGTCGCAGCCGTCCTCGAACACCAGTCTCCGTCTTCTTGAGCGCGGTAACCTCTCTCAGCGTGATGTGCAGCATCTCACGAACCGCTGAGAACATCGATCTGCCAATTGTCATCCAAGAATCCACTTCTTCATCGACTGTAAGGGGATTGTAGCCAGCGCCAGGCGCAGCAAAGAGGGTCCGTGTACTGGCGACGCCTCAATGTGAAGACGCAGAGACGCGGTGAGGGACAAGCAGCAAGGCCGCTGCACAATGCAAAGTATCCGCCTCGCCAAACATCATTCTCTGGTGACACTTCCGTCTGGAAGGCCGTGATGAAGACCTTCCTTGAAGGCACGAAAACTCAAAAGTGCACTCACTGGGACTGCGCTGCGCGCTGCGCCACTGAGCTGCCGCTGGAGCCGGGGCGCTGGACGGCTCCCTTGAAGTTGACCAGCACGTTGCGCAGCGGGTCGGACTCGGCATTCCCTGCTCGCATCGCCAGCTCGCCTCAAGGACTCAAAAGGGGCCGCCCGCCCCAACGAAAGCGCATTCGTGAAATCATCCGTGAACATCATCTGCTCGATACGAAGGGGGTCTGCCGAGTCTGCCGGTCAAGACGCGTGTGTTGTCTTGCACCTCGACGTACTCCACACCCTTGACAACGTCGCGACCGGCAAAGGCATTGAGCTTCGCCTCTCACGAGAAATCACGTGAAACAATCGTCAGCATGTCCGAAAGCATCCTAAACGCATCCCTGAAAGCATCACCAGCTCTTTCGCCACTGAGAAGCGCGTGTGTTGTACGCACGGTCTTCGACGATGTTGTTCCTCGCGGCGCACATTAAAGAGGTCTGCTGATCACCACAAAGGCTCAAAAGGGCTGAGAACCACAAACGCGTCTCCTCTGCGTTCGAACGTACCTTGAGAAGCTCTCGGCGGAGTCTTACTTCAAAGGTGCTTTCAACTGCCTGTTCAAGTGAAGCCGGGCATGGCGCCTCAGCTCAATCTCCACGGTCTTTCCGAGCTGGTTCTGCTGTTCTGCAAGGACTTTGTTTGCCACTGCCTGCAGGCTGAGACAAGAAGAGCGGAAAAAAAAAAAAAAAAAACAGCTCATGCTCCCAAAAAAGCACATTGCCAAGCAAGGCACACTCTGGCCATTGGCCAGGAACTGCTTCCCCAGTGGCGCTGCGTAGCTTTCCAGCGTCTGTTCCACGCGCCAGCCTGAGATCGGAGACTGCAGCGAACCTCACCGTAGCAGCTGCCTCCTACAATCAGGATGCTACCAAGGCGCGACCCTCCATCCACTCAGGATAGTATAAGTCATCTGGGCCCCAGCCTGACAGGGCCCACGCGCGACATGCTAGAAGAAACCGCAAAGCCAAGCCCACACACACACAACCGCACATGCCCACAACCAGGAGAAACATCCGGAAACCCAGGGAAGCCCTCCCCGCCTGGAATGTAGCCACTCGGAAGCTTGTCGACCTCAATCTGACAGTTCAGGTTTAGGGCTTAGGGTTTAGGGTTTTAGGGTTTAGGGTTTAGGGTTTAGGGTTTAGGGTTTAGGGTTTAGGGTTTAGGGTTTAGGGTTTAGGGTTTAGGGTTTAGGGTTTAGGGTTTAGGGTTTAGGGTTTAGGGTTTTTAGGGTTTAGGGTTTAGGGTTTAGGGTCTATGGTTTAGGGTTTAGGGTTTAGGGTTTAGGGTTTAGGGTTTAGGGTTTAGGGTTTAGGGTTTAGGGTTTAGGGTTTAGGGTTTAGGGTTTAGGGTTTAGGGTTTAGGGTTTAGGGTTTAGGGTTTAGGGTTTAGGGTTTAGGGCCCCCCCCCCCCCTCTTCTTTAACAAGCCGGCACGGGCACAAAAGGGCAGAAAAAGCGGGCCTCCGTGCCGTTGAAGCGCTGCTGCAGGGCGGTCTTCTCCGCCAAGGCTGGCAGCATCCTGCCAGCACTTAAAGACTGAAGGGAAGATGAAGAGAAAGGGGTTTAGGGTTTCGGGTTTCGGGTTTCGGGTTTAGGGTTTAGGGTTTAGGGTTTAGGGTTTAGGGTTTAGGGTTTAGGGTTTAGGGTTTAGGTAGGCAAAACTCGTTCAGCACCAGCTGCAGGCCGATCTGCAACCAAGTGTGCAACCAAGTAGCCAGGTGTTTGCTAGGCCCAGAGATGTGACATAAAGGACGTCTCGCCGACGTCCACCCTGGGCCTCTTGCCACGGGCCACTTCGCAGCTCTGACAAGGGCCCTTCCGGCGCCGTCCAAGCATGCCTCCAGAGGCCAATTTTGCGATTTTTTAACCTAAAAGACCCCATTCAGGGTTTTTGAACATGAAACAACCCTAAATGTTCTGTTAACGTTAAAGAACCCAAAATCTGACGCTCTGCGCGCGCTCGGCTGCTGCTTACTGCTGGCCACTCCCATCGCGACATGCTGCCGAGCCGCGACCACAGCGGGGCTGCGAGGCCTCCGAGGCCCGCAAGGGCACCAAGGCAACACCTCAGCACGTCGTAAAGAAGTCGATGTTGGGTCTCAGGAGAAGGGAAGCAAAACCCATGTCCCAGGTCATCCCAGCTCCCATGATGCCCCATGATGTCCCTGTATCCCCGTTTGCGTCTCGAGCACCTCCGCCAGCGAGGCCAGGGGATCGGACTGGGCCGAGCGCCAGGAGCCATGGCCCGGGGAAGCACACAAAGCATTAAAGGGCGCACACAAGGAGCAGCAAGGGTACGGGACCTGGGTTGGGATGTTGAGTAGGGATTCTAAGTGCCCCTATTCTCATCCACTTTAGGGACTGCTAGCATAATGGGGAACATGGGTGTGTTAACAGCGAAATTTCAGGCATGATCTTATAAAGATACCATGCCTGAACTTTACCTGCATGAACCACCGTCGGAGGGGACGTTCAGAGCTCCGGGTCGCGGAGCGCCGTAGAACATCGCGAGGCTACAAGACAGGAAACAGCACCCTCAGGGATGCGACGATATTTCAAAACAAACAGGGTTTACGGTTTAGGGTTTTGGGTTTAGGGTTTAGGGCTTAGGGCTTAGGGCTTGGGGTTTAGGGTTTAGGGTTTAGGGTTTAGGGTTTAGGGTTTAGGGTTTAGGGTTCCAAAACCCAAAAAGTGTCCTGACCAAAGTCCCTGCGCAATGGAGGCAGAAGAGGTGGGCGCAAGCGGCCAGGATGGCACCTTGTCTCGCAGTGCAGGGCAGGGAGAGAAGTTAAGCTTCGTGGCTTCTGCAAACGAGGTTTTCCTGTCAGTGGGCCGATCACATGGGGTTTTTTCCCAAGAAAGGGGGCACCTTATTGAGGTCCTTACTCTAAAAGAATCCTACTATTTGGGGTGTGTATATTTTTCCAGGTCCCTTATTTTCGTAAACCCTTTACATGGCTCCAGCGCCTCAAAGAAGCCACGCAGAAGCTTCCATGGAAACACTTACTTGCATGAAGGGAGGGCTCGCCAGAGACAAAAACCCCCTTAGTGCCGGGCGCTCTGTAGGTGGCGCCTCGGTGAAGCAGACCTCGGAATCCGGAAAAAGAAAGGCCACGCAACAAAACCACCAGAGGATGATAAAAACGGCTCTTCCATTGCCTTGCGAGTTCCCCCACCCCCCAAAACCCTGAACCCTGAGCCCTCCCCTCCGGGAGGGATGAAAGAAAACGGCAGTTAAAGCAGGCGGCTTAGAAATCAGGGTCTGCAGTAGTAACCTGAAACCGCACAAACACAAACGGAAGGAGTCAAGGCCAAGACCGGGCAGCGGAAGCGGCTGGCCTTCCGGCGGCTCTCACATCTCTCAGGGAAGCAAAATACGGCCTTCTCACAGGAAATAGGGGGGGGGGGGGGGGGGGAATCCAAAATTTGGGTTACCCTTTTTGAGGGGTCCCTTTAATGGGATTCTATTCTACTTGGGGTATAAAGAAGGGGTACCCCTATCTTGGGAAATACACATATGAAGGGCTTAGGTTGCTCTGGGCTTTGAGGGTTGAGGGTTGAGGGTTGACGGTTTCGGAGGCCAGCCCCTTCCAGCCCAAAAGGGTCGTCCCCAGATTTCCTTGTCACACAGGGTGCTCTCTCGTGTTGTCGCGAGGCACGTCATGCACGGCGCATGCTTACATGATTACATCATTACCAAACTACAGCACTTACAAATGCTGCAATATGAAAAGAATTCCCCTGCTACATGATCGCATTGGTATGTTCGTACATCCCTGCACTGCGTGCTTGCATTGTCTTTTTACATCGCTGCAACATTCTACACCAAACTGGCATCTTAATTTGGGATGCTCCCCCCTTATCCTAACAGTCCTTAATAGGGATTCTCATAGGGGTACTATAGTATAAGGGGGAGCATCCCAAGTTTTCTATGTTCTTACACACCGGACAAAAAAGTGCACGCGCCTCGGCGGCCTCCAACATGGCAGCCAGGAAGGCGTGCTCGTGGCTCCTTCGACGGGCACCGATTGAGGCTAGGAATCAGGGTTTGCCTGCACCCCCCAACTAATTACACCCTTGAAGCAAGGGGACCTTAGAACACCCACCATTACGGTTAAAGGGTGGTTGGGGGGGTGCTGTCACCTCGCTTTCCCCCATCTGCCGTCCTCTGCCGGAAAGCTTCCTTGGCTTGCTTCACCTCTTCCAGCAACTCCACCAGCAGTTCCAAGCCATCGCCAGTGTGACCCTGGGCTCAGGGAAGTAAAACTCCTGACCGTATCGCACATATCGCATGCGCTCAAATGCGCTCAAGACAGGACGAGGGGCAGATGTGGGACCTTGTGGGGCAGCGGGGCAGCCCGAGCATCGGGGTCCGTGGCTCGACTCGCGCACTTCCGTGATGGCTCTCAGGATCAGGTCGTCCGCATCCCGCTCATGCCGCCGCTGGCCGGCGTGACTTCGCCGCGCGGCGCTGGCGCCCGCAATTTGCGAGGCCACCGCCTCCGCCTCCATCTCTGGTGGGCCACCAGCACGCTGACCACTGTGGCCGCTGTGGCCGCCCACCATACCCACCTCTGCCAGCAACTGCGCGTACTGCTCCGCCACAAGGGTCGGGAGGCCGCCACCCATTCGGGCTGACAAAATCTCTGCCTCCATCTTTCTGCTGGACACCAGGAGCCACTGACGAGCGGTTTCCACGGCATCTGCCCTGGTCCGCAGCAAGGATGCACTCTCGGTCTCGGCATCTTCAACGCCAGCCTCTTCGAGACGGAAGTGCGAGCAGAGCTGCAGCAAATCAGAGCACACTGTCTCTTCTTTGTGACCCGTTTGCTTCTGCTGCTTGTGCTTCCGCTTTGCATCAGCAACCCCTTGGACATAGATCGCGCGTTCGGCTGGTGTATGGTAGAGAGAGACCAGCTCCTCGTGAACGTCGAGACCCGACAAGGCCGAAGAGCCGTTTGCCCTCGCCACATGGTCCAGCATTCTCTGCGCCATCTCCCGCGCATCCAGCTGTCGGCGAAATGCTTGCAAGTCGATCTTGAATGCCTGCCAAGGGCGAGGTCTCAAAGTAGAAAGTTGCAGTTGTCTTCTTTGCGTGAGGTGACATGAGCCCCCCTTTGAAGAGTGGACTTATACTGCAAAGATGCATTGTGGAGTGGCTTTTGGGGGGTTCATCAGAGGCACCCGCCTGCGCGATCCGCGCCACCGATGCGAAGTCGCTGAGCGGCGGTGTGCCGGTGAGGCCCCAGAGCGAGGCCCCGCTGTCGGCCCAGAGCTCCTCGTGGCGGGAACCCGGGAACGCGGCTCTCAGAATTCGGCGATCTCTGGCTCCCAAAAGCTAAGAGAACGCAGTGACTGGCTGAGAGAGAAAGAGAGAAGAAACGCTGAGAGAGAGAGAGAGAGAGAGATGGAGAGAGATGGAGAGAGGGAGCTATCATGGCCATGAAATCTCACTCTCCTGCAGCGCGCTGAGCCGTCCGCTGGAGCCCGAAGAGTCCAGGAGCTCGTGGAACTCGTCGACGACGATGCGCTCCAGGCCCCGGAGGCAAACGGCCCCTTCAGGAAGGGCTTGGGGTGTAGGGTTTAGGGTTTTAGGGTTTAGGGTTTAGGGTTTAGGGTTTAGGGTTTAGGGTTTAGGGTTTAGGGTTTTAGGGTTTAGGGTTTACGGTTGAGGGTTTAGGGTTTAGGGCTTAAGGTACGAGAATGGCTTGGGTAGTTGGCATTCTCAGCTGGGCTGCTCAGCGCGTGCATCATCTCGGCAAGGTCCAAGTCAAAGGAGGCCTGACAGAGAGCCCGAAGCTCTGACAGAGCGGGCTTTACGAAGGAAACCGCTTCGGCGTCTCTTGCTTTTTTGTTCTATCGAATTGGCCCTTCTTTTTAAGGCCTTCAGGGGTGAAAGGTGAGCTTAGTGGTTGACATGCATGGCTTTATGGCTTTATATGGTGAACGGAATGGCAGCGAGTGCCTCCATCCTCGGGCGCTTCCCATCCGGCATCAGGATCTCCACGGGCAACAGCAGGAGCTGTGGAACTGCTCCTGATCCGCCGTACCCTCAACATCAAACAGAAATTTAGAAAGAATAACGCACAAAAGAGAGAGAGAGCCCAAAGGGCTTACTGCCCACGACTTGAGACATTGAAGCCTCTGCTGGCCTCGCTTCGGAATCTCTTCGCTCACGTTGAGGTACAGGTCCACGCTCTTCGGGGGGAGGAACTTCCGGACCTCCTGCTGCCACTGCTGCAGCAGCCGGCCCGGCACCAGCACCAAAGTGCGCTTGCACCCAGCCTGGGGGCTCTCGAATGCTTGGATTCAAAATGTACCCCCTCTCACCTCTGACGCACTCTTGCTTGACGTCAGAACGGCTCTCTCTCTCTCTCTCTCTCTCTCTCTCTCTCTCTCGAAGAGCCGCTACCCAAACAGCAACACCTCGACACCATGGCTCTATGATCTTGAAACGCACAGAGCACGAGCCTCAAGGCCACACTGGGAGCCTCCGAGACGCACACACGCGCTCTCTGCGTGGTATCGGGACTCTCTGCCTGTGTGTGGTGGGGGGACACGTCTCTCACGACAACAAAAAGGAATTCTCTTGGCCACCCACTGTCGGATGCCACCAGCCCCAGGGTGATGGCAGTCTTCCCCTTGGGAGAGCAGTCAGCCCTGATGGCGGTGGCCGACTGCTGCTTGGGTCGTCGTAAGGACCCGGCAGAACCCACTTGATCTGCCAGCAGACCACCTGACCCAAGAGCAACAGTGAGGGTCCTTACCCCCTTGCTAACCAGGGGCTTCAGCCCAATCCTACACGAGGCCGTCTACCCGGAAACCCCGCACTTTTGAAAATAATACCGAGCTTGGAAGCGACAGGTCACCCTCCAAAATAAAGTGGCAATTAACCCTGCCCGACTCCCATTGAAAAGAACATAAAAACAAACAGTCTCAACAGATTTTGTACACGTGGGCAGAACCATGTTGCAAAACTCCCTGATTGAACCCATGGTGGGCATTTCCCACAATACCCCTTACTCAATATCTCCCCACCAAACTTTTACAGAAAGGTGCTTGTACTACCGGAATCCCCCAGACAAAAAGAGGGCCCGATCCTGGCACCTCGGCTTTTGTCGGCTTCTGAAACGGAAGCTCTCTTGTCAAGTGAGGGATTTTCCATGTTCCGAACCATCAGCGGCCATTCATAGAAACACCATCCTTTCTACCACCACAGAATCTTCAGTCCTCGTTATGACATCGTATAGCACTATATAACCTAGCATATGCTTAAAATCAAAAGAAGCCCTAAACCCTAAACCCTAAACCCTAAACCCTATAGACCCACACCACAGATAGACACCCCCCTCGGTGCCTCGCACGTGGAAGGCTCGCTGCACCCGGGCCACCGCTCGACAGCCCAAAGCCTCCAAGCCGCAATGCTTGCGGTGACACTATTTCAGCGTTTAGGGTTTAGGGTTTAGGGTTTAGGGTGGGTCTAGGGTTTAGGGTTTAGGGTTTCGGGTTTAGGGTTTAGGGCTTAGGGTTTATAGGGCTTAGGGCTTAGGGTTTAGGGTTGAGGGTTTAGGGAGATCATGTCACCCAAGAGCTGTCCCAAAACCCCCCAAAAAATAAGTTCGAAGAGATGGTTTTTTCTCCGAGCATCCCTCACCCTGCACGCAAGGGAGTTGATCTCTCACTCTGGGGTTGGGCACGTCAGGGACACTCTGCCGGGCTTCTTTGGGTTGGACGCCAGTGATTCTGGGCGGATGCACTCCAGAGATTCTCTGAACACACTCTGGGGGTTGGGCACTCCAGGGACGGTCTGAACATACTCCAAGGACTTTCTGGATACTCTGAAGCTGGGCAATTCTCTGCATGCTCTGGGGCTGGGCGCGGATGCTTGGACTCCCCTCGTGTTTGCTACGGCGACAGATCAATCCTAGCTGTCTCAGCTGGGACTTGTCTCGTAAGTCATGTCGTCTTTGCCCTTAACTCTAACCTCTTTGGAATATTGAAACGTGGGAATGTGGAGTAGTGAAATTCCACAACCAAAAATCTTTGGGCCCATATTTCCAAAAAATCTGCGCAGAACAACGACATCTTGCAAAACTCCAGCGAGCCGAGACATGCAACTATTGAGCTGTATGAATGAGTAACAGCTACCGATGTGGAACGGCATACTCATAAACCGGAAAGAGCCTCGCAAAGCAGCTGCTGCGTGGCATGCGGCGGATGCAATGCAGGGAAGAACCTCGCGAGGGAACATGCACAAGCGGATTTGCTTCGCTAAAGCAGATCATCTGCTTTGCAATTAGCATCAGATCGAAACGACCAAAGCTGTGGTGAAAACATTGGGACACAGTCCCAACGACTGTTTGCTTCGTACCGCCGAGAGCTCCCCCCCCCCCACCAAGTTCCATCCAGCAGCTCCCGGCTCGCTCCCAGAAGCAGCGGTGCGCGCTCCGCCTCGCAGGCCTGAAAGAAGGCTCATGCATATGCTCATGCAGCATGCATATGCTCACGTGTATGCTCTTTCTCTCGCCCCTCTCTTCCCCTTCTTCAGCTCCCATGTCTCCCCCTCTTCCTCTCCCACTTCCTTGCTTCAGCTAAGCTCCAACTCAAAATCTCCAAACTTCTCCACTCCTCATCTTCCCTCAGCTCCCCTCATCTTCCTGCCTGCATCCACGCCAGGGAGCGGAGCTGGTGCCCACGCAGGGGGAGAAGCAGGCCGTGGGCTTCTGCCTTTTTTGTCACAGAGAGAATCTTGGGGCGAAGCCACGAAAACAGTCCGAAAACACACAAAAGATTGCGCTTCGCTCGATGTGTAGAGCGAGAGGAAAGGCGGGGCTTGAAGGCCTCCGCGTCCAGCGCGTTCGACAGCAGCTGAAACGCTCGTGAAGATGCGGGTGCCTGGCACACGAGCCGATCAGCTCGCCCAACCGGCGTTTGTACAGGAACTGCTCAGAAGGAGCCCCCTTAGCGCGGCCTGCGTCTGCTCATGCGCGAGCTCCGTGTACACATCAACATCGAAGCTCCAGGGACTCTAGACTACACTTATCTACACGTTCTACACTTACCTCCGCCGGAAGCCGACAAGCGTAAGGCGATTTGGTTGTGCGCTCTGTGGACCTATGTGGACTTGAACGACATGACCTGAGAGCACCATGCGGGCCCTTGTCCCCTCTCAAACTTTTTTGTTGGCCTCCTCTCACCCCCACTCCAGCCCCACATTCCCGCCAACGTCTGCCTCAGGGGACACTTCGGACTCTCAGCTTCGAAAAACAAACCCCTTCCCCTCCCCCCTGTTGCCCTCCCGGCCTGATTCCGTGGAGAAAAAGGCTCCGCGCACCCCCCCCCCCCCCCCGCCTTGCTTCACCTGAATAAACCAGCGCGGTCCAGCCTGGACCTTGGGCCCTGGGGTGGCTCTCTGACTTGCCAAACAGTCTCATAAAAAAAAGCTTGAACGGCACAGATGGGGCTCTCCTACAATGGGGCTCTGCAAGAAGCTCGCGGGGAGCAAGCGCAACACTCAGCGAGATTCTGGATCAGCTCACTGCAATTCGTAGGACACTATCCTCCCCGGACCTGCTGCCCCCGCCAAATCCACCACTGACTCCTGGCACGGCTGCGCAGTGCGGAGAAGACCCCGGGTTCGGATTCAGCAACTATAGCCAACTCCTCCGATTCCCGTCAGCGCGCGCGGTCTGCGCCCAGGATCGCGCCCATCCCTCTTGGCCGTGGCACAACAACGGGCAATGGTCTTGAGCTCAAGGCGAGAAGCATTCCTGCCTCCCCGTGTGCGACATCGCCTGCAAAGTCAGCCAAGGCAGCAGAAGGAACACAGAAAGCGGGCAACAAAAAACGCAACAAAAGGAACTTGATCACAAGATCAAAACAGGCTTCTCTATATGCAAAAAGAAGCTTCCCAAAAAAAAAGGCTTCTCAAAAGAAGCTGTCAGAGGTGTTTTAAAGGTCTTTTAGGTGAAGCGCCGTGCATCCGGGGGGCGCCTCGTGGCTTCTCCGGGCCAGGGCCTCCAGGCGCCAGGAGAAGCGCAGGTGCGGGCCGAGCGTCCACGGGGGATAGATGGCCTCTCTGTTCCCCCCCCCCAAAAAAAAATTATTGAAAAAAAAAAAGGCACTCTCCCCATCCATCCCGCACACCCTTCTCTTGCTCACGCGCATCTGTCATTCTCTCTCCCCGCAGTTTTGCTTCAATCTTCTCTTCAGTCCCCATTAGTAAGTAGGGGCCCGCGCAAAGCGGGCGCGCTGCGCCAGCGCCATGGGGTCCGCGACGACCTGAGCGAGAGGAAATGGAACTCGAGGCTTGCGGGAATGGGGCCTTCCTGGCGCGAGGTTGTGGGGGGGTGAGAGGAGGAAGGCGGGGGACTTTCTCGAGGCCTCTCTGCGCAGCTTGGCTGCAATCCTTCTGCACAGTTTTCCGCGTGCGGCCGGGGCGCGCGGAGCTCCAGGTCAACCTGGAGGCCACCAGGGAGGCCCTGCGTGGAGGGATACAGATGCTTTTAAGCAGGGAAGGTAAGAAAACAGGTTCCCACAAGGCAGAAGAATGCAGAATTGCAACGCACAGCCGCACAGCTTTTCAAAGGGCCGTCCTCCGTCTCTTGCGCGCCTTCCACGACGGCACAGACCCGCAGGGGCGCTTCGAGCGATGGCTCTTCCTTCAGACAATTTAGCCACTTGAGACTTCAGACCATCTGGCGGTGCTGGCAGGCTGTCGTCCTCCAAGTCGTCCCTCAGGGGGACCTCTCTCTCTCTCGAGCTAAACTTGAGCCCTCTGAGTAGCACTACTAAAAGAGCTCTCAGCTGCCCTCTGCTCTGCCCGGCCTCGCGCCAACCAGATGGCACGGCCGGCTGCTCCTTCGCCTCGACTTCCAGCGCTTCCAGGTCCTGAGGGTCTTCTTTTTCGGATATCCCTGTAGCTTCTCTGTTTGGGGGGTGGGGGGCTACCGGGCTCTTGGGCCACTCATGGCCACCGCTTTTTTACCCAACAAAATAAGAAGCCCGATGAAGTCTCTGCAGTAGCCAAACTGAGGCGACGGCTGGATCTGGCAGGCAATCGGCCAAGTGCTTGTGAGCTTCGCCGCCGCAAACTTGGCAGCCAGCGCGCTCTGCAGGCTCCGCACCTGTCCAACCTGCGTCAGCTAGAGAAAACTGACGCAACTCAGCTTTATAGGACCATAGGAGGCATATGTTCGGCCTGGAAGAGCTTGCGCATCCTTCGGATGCACCTAGGGGAGGAAGGGGGTGTTGCGTCAAGAGCGGGCAGGCAACGTCCAACAACCTTTTCGAAGAGCTGTTGGGGACAGCTCAGCGCACGGCTCTCCTGCCATTCCCCTTTCTCCACCGCCCCTGGTATGTTCTTGGCCACAACAGAGGGTTTCTGAGGTTTTGGCATTTTGGGTTTGAAGGGTAGCAGGCTCAAAGACTGCGTGGTGAGGCCTCGCCGTGACGGAGATGCAGCGCGACCCGCGCAGTGTGACCTGGCCGCCGGCAACTCCAACTCTGCTGCACGCTGCTGTCCATGTGGCGAAGAGGCTTAGGCGGGGGGGGGGGTTGGCTATGCAGGTTCGGAATGGCTTGCGAGACTTTTCGCGGCATTGGCTTGCAAGGACAGTCGTGTCCACACGAAGACCTCGCCGGGTGAAACATTGCATCGTTGCGCAGTGTTGACTCAGTATTGCTGGGACAGCAGCGGCGTTGCCGCTCCCATCTCCTCCGCAAAGCCAGGCGTCATGCCAGTGAGCTGTGGAGGTGTCACACCACCCTCTTCCAGGCCGTAGAGCGATCCGTAGATCCCGGTCGCTGGTGCGATCGCGGGCTGGTCCAAGAAGGGCGTCACCTCTCCACCTGCGAAGCCCGGCGTCATCCCAGCCACTTCGTCTTGGCCAGGTGTCAACGCACCCGGCAAGCCTGGGGTGGTGGCTCCTGCACATGTGACAGCAAGCATCAACAAGCACTACTCTCAACTCTACAGCGGGCTCTTGCACGTGGAGGGCCTGATTTTGGGGACTGGGGAACATTGAGCCTCTGTCGAGGCATGTAAACAGCGTTCAGGATTGTATTTGGGACCCAAGTTTCAAGGCCTGGCTGGAGCGGCACTGGCGTTTCGGTCTTGACCGGCTGCTCGTCTCTGAGCTCAATCGGCTTTTTGTTCTTCACCCAGGTCTTGAAATCCGGTATTGCAGCCTCCTTTGTCTTCTTGGTACCGGAACCTGCCCGGGGCAAGTCCTTGGTGAGTCGGTTGACCTTGGCCTTGATCGCCGGCGCGGGCGCCATCTTGCCGTTCCTTCGCCGCGGTGCGTGCCTGAGCTCGCCAGCCGACACACTGCCAGTGAAGCCTGGCACTCCTGGCACTATCAGCCTGGATTGCGCGGCCGCCATTGCACCTTGTGCAAGCGAGACAGGCGTGGACAGCCCACTGTGCGGGGCGAAAAACCTCATTTGGGCTCTGGCGGCTGGCGTCCCCGGCATCATCGGGGTGCTTGGATTTACAGGGGTGGCTGGAGTTAACTTAATACCTTGGGTTCCTGGTGACGCCGGAACGTGCACAGGTGGCATGCCAGGTGTAGGGGGGGTATGACCAGGTGTGCCAGGATGCACGGGCGTGCCAGGATGCGGCAGAAAAGGCGTGGCTCCAGGCGTTCCAGGTGCTGCAGGTGCGAAGGCACCTGCTGGAGTTGGGGGCACCGGTCCGCTTCCGAAGGCACCCGCTGGAGTTGGGGGCACCGGTCCGTTTCCGAAGGCGCCCGCTGGAGTTGGGGGCACTGGTCCGCTTCCGAAGGCACCTGCTGGAGTTGGGGGCACCGGTGCGTTTCCGAAGGCGCCTGCTGGAGTTGGGGGCACCAGTCCGGCTCCAATTGGCGGCGTGTGGGGAATCCCCAGATTCATCACTGGATCCGGTGGAGTCCGAGGAATTTGGTCCGCATTCGGGTTCAGGGAGACCTGGGCCTCGTGCTTGACACGTCCTTCTTGCCAGTCGCTCCATGAAGGCTCGGACTTGTTTTCCCATCTCGTGCGCTTTGCAGAGTCCTCCCAGCCGGACCCACCCCACTCTTCTTTCACACGCTTCTTGCTCCAATCACTGCTGCCTTTCCAGCTCTGCCAGTCACTTCCCTTCCATGTGTGCCAGTCAGCCTGATCCTTGCTTGTCCAATCCTCCTTCCCTTGCCAGTCCCAGCCCATGGCGACCTATCTTGCTCCGAGGCGCAGCATATTTCGCATTCTGACTGCAGCTATGACATGCTATATTATGCTATAATATGCTATATGATGCCATATTATGCTATATTATGCTATATGATGCTATATGATGCTATATTATGCTACATTATGCTATGTTATTCTATATTATGCTATATATTGCATCTTCGCAAGCCAGCATCGGTGGACAGTGCCTGGGCGGATACCGACGCAAGAACCGAACAGAAAACGCGACAACTTCTGAAGATCTGCGATCCCAGTGAGTCATGGCCACCCACTAACACAGCTGCCGTGACAGCTCAGCTTCATTTACGCCCGATGAATACTTGAGTCAGCAACAACCGCACTGAGAAAACGACACACCGTCGGCTTCTGCAGGTCCGCTCTGTCCACCTGACAGACATTGCCCTCTCCCTTGGAGCTCTCGGGCTAAAGAGGGGCTTTAGGGTTTAGGGTTTAGGGCTTATAGAAATTGTGTAGGGTTTGGGTCCCATTAAGTTTTGACCGAAACGTTTTGACCGAAGCGTTTTGACCGAGTTTTTTTTTGGAGCTACGTTTTTCATTTTGGGGGGGGGGGGGGGGGGGGGCAAACTTCGGGCATGTGCTTCTAATTTTGGACTTCCGGGCCAACAATTTGGAGTCTCACGGGGCCGCCTAGTTTGAGGCCTCCCGGGGCCTATTTCGGGGCCTCCCTGGACCTATTTCGGGGAGTGTCGGGGCTTATTGGGGACTCCCGGTGCTTGTTTGGGGTCTTTTTTGGGGCCTCTCGGGCCTCTCAGGGGTCCTATTTTGGAGTCTCTGGGCTCCAGCCTATTTTGGAGGGGGGTCCCGGCCCATTTTGGGCCTATGTTGGGGCCTGTCGGGGCCTATTTTGAAGTGAATTGAAGTGCATTGAAGTGAATTGAAGTGAATTGAAGTGAATTGAAGTGAATTGAAGTGAATTGAAGTGAATTGAAGTGAATTGAAGTGAATTGAATATTCGGCTTGCCAAAAGCCGTTTGAACTAATTTAGTCAAACTGGGCTTGTCAGCTGTTTGGACACATAACATGCGAAATTCAAAGTGATATCACATACACTTTCTAATTATTTCGTCTTGAGGGTTTAGGGTTTAAGGTTTCGCGTTTAGCGTTTAGCGTTTAGCGTTTAGGGTTTAGGGTTTAGGGTTTAGGGTTTCTCGTTTCGCGTTTCGCGTTTAGCGTTTAGGGTTTAGGGTTTAGGGTTTAGGGTTTAGGGTTTAGGGTTTAGGGGTTAGGGTTTAGGGCTTAGGGCTTAGGGCTTAGGGTTTAGGGGGGGCCTGGCTTGACATCGGCATCCATGGCAGCCAGAGGTCCAAGCCCCATCAGCCCATGGCTGCTCTGGTGGCTGAGGCCATGGGAAGCAGGGTTCTTTCTGTTACTGGTATCCCCAAAGTACACCGCCACAAATATAAATATAAATATAAATATAAATATACATATATATATATGTATATTGTATATATATATA